AGTGATAGGCGCGCACAAGTTGTGCAGTGCAGTGATAGGTACGCACAAGCTGTGCAGTGATAGGCGGGCACATAGGTGTGCAGTGATAGGAAGGCAGAAGAAGGTGTAATGGTTACACCATCCCCCTCCTCTCGATTGTGCAAAACACAATAGAATGAAATACTTAAGAACACAAGTGGAACAATGTTTCTTCCGGACTCGTCCGTCAGTAAATTCTCTGGCTCCCAGGTTGTCTCATCATAACCCTTCAACTTAACCACAACTCAGGTGTGCCTTTGCATACTCGGCGATCCAAAATTTCCTCCACAATGTACCCTGTGTTGCCGTCGAAATCAGTTGTAGGCGGCTTGCGGCGACCAGGAATTGCGTTCACTTCCTATGGTTTCAGCGCGGTCACATTGAACACAGGGTGGCAGCGTAAGGTTGTCGGCAGGTTTAGGCGATATGCATTGTCATTACCTGACTGGGTGAGATGAGACCCATTAGCTGACTGGGTGACTCCGTGACTGGGTGACTCTGGTTGACTGGGTGACTCCGTGAAAGGGTGACTGGGTAACTGGGTGACTTTGTAGCTGGGTAACTGGGTAGCTGTGTAACTGGTTTGAGCAAGCATCCTTTGTTCCGGCGGTCATGTAAGCCAGTGGCGGAATGGGTCCAGCGTCAACAGCACTGTATAAACGCATTCCTCTTCTGTTGGCTGAGAATAGGGGTGAGCACTACTCACATGTTATGGCATTTGTTAGATGCAGGATTTCCTTCAGTCTTCTGAAATCCTGTATCATGTGCATTCGCGGTTGTAGGCGTATAAATTTTAGTCTGAAATTTGCACCCTCCTGCGGAGCCCACGCTGCTTTGGCAGTGGGGAGGCTCGCTTGCCGACGTAATCGTCGGAGACCATCGTGAACAATGGACTGACTAATTATTCACTTGTCCTGTCTTTCTAAATAACATGTTATTGCACATGTGCTTGGTTTAGTTTTTCGGCCTTTTTCGTGCTTTGGAAACAAAACTGGGTAACTGGGTGACTGGGTAACTGGGTAACTGGGTAACTGGGTAACTGGGTGACTGGGTAACTAGGTGACTGGCTAACTGGGTGACTGGGTAACTGGGTAACGGGGTAACAGGGTGACTCATGGCGTCGAGTACGGGAACTAACAGCCACGCAGGTTAGAGCTGACTGTATGGTCGCCGACAAGGTTTTCGAATGGTCACGAAGTATCTGTTCTCGGACATCGCCGTATCGCCGTTGGTGAACAGCAGCGCTCTTGAGTGCTTGGCCAACTCAGGAATCTGAAGGCTTGGACCGTAAACCTTAGCAAGCGCATCTCTTAGTGACGGCCAGTCAGGAAAGGTTTCAGCTTCCAGGGAAGAGATGAGCCAAAGGCGAGCGTTGCCTACAAGGAAACCAGCGGCATAGTTCACTTTTCTATCCGAACTGCCTAATTCCAGGGACTTGAGAGCCAATTCGATAGTGAAAGACCACTCCCTGAACCAGTTTGCCTCGCTACCGAACACTTGAGGCTCCTTCGTACAAGGCCGACTTCTCGACGTAGGCCGATTATGGTTGATCGCGGCTCCGATACCCTTCCAAGGAGTCACAGGTGATATTGTTAGCTTTGGACGTTGGCTAATAGCCTATTACCTCGCAGCAGCTGCCGAATAGCGGCGAAAACCAGTAAACTGAGTAACAGGAACGACAAGACAGCAGGCGTCAGAAGGAAGATAATCATCGAAAACCATCCTCTTGCTGTCAATGTAAACGTCTCACTTAGTCAGCTGAGGAGTAATCGTCTCTTTATTAGTAAAGAAGCAGTTTTAAACAGTGAGTAGAATAACAGGTGCCAACGTTAGCCGTGAACAGTAAGTGCTAGAAGTTGCACAAGGTTTGCAACTGATAGGCGCGCACAAGCTCTGCAGTGATAGGCACGTACATAGGTGTGCAGTGATAGGAAGGCAGAAGAAGGTGTAGCGGTAACAGAACCAGCTCACAACTTTAGCAAAAGAACTCTATTAGAAAACTCTGACTCCAAGTCGCACTTGCTTGAAGCCTTCCAATGACCTCATAAGCACTATAACCCGTTGACCCTCACGGTGATACCGTTTAGTTTATAACACTTGGATGCGAAGAACTCAATCAGCAGGTGCGAAAGAAGGTGAAGACAAAGCCTGTGACTTAAAAGTGTGAACCCTAACGAAACTCATAGCTACATGTACATGTACCACGAAGCAAGAGTGCGTGTCAGTGACATTTGCGAACTCCTGAACAATAAAAGTTATGACCTTTAGAAACGTTATGATAGTGATCTATGTTCTGAAGGACCGTATTAAAACCGGGTCAGGGCAGGCAATGACCCATTTCCTGAAGCAGGGGATGGCAACGTTTGCAAAAAGTAAAAACTGGCACCAGCAAATGGAATTGTCGATCAACTCAATCAAATCCCTCTATCTGCTATGTCACGCGGTGGCCGGTGCTAGGGACCGGCGGATAATGCTCGAAAAGGTGGCAGATTCTGCTCGGAAAGCAGTGAAATTGGCAGAACCTTACCAACCTTATGGCGGGCAATTCCTCAAATTCTGCTCCATTTCTTTATCCACGTACCAAACATGCATGAAACTTACCAGAAAATTTACCGAATTCTGCCTATTTTTCTGCCGACATTATCCGCCGGTGCCTAGCCGGCGCCCGGCACGCAAAAATGCTTCGATCACACAAATCGAGATTTGTTCACTATTTTTTTGCAATTTTCCAGAACTTTGCTGCTAGTTAAATTCGAGTCACTCAGGGAAGGAAGTACTTGTTGTTTGGAGTGACAAGGGTTGCCATCGACAATTTATTATCAAAAAGGTACTGCGCTGTTTGGCATACTGACCGTCTGGAGCTGTGCCTGGTGTTGTAGCTGGAGGAGGCGCTTTCCGTTGTCGGTTATGAAATTGGCTATGTTGCAACGTGGTGCCGCGACAATTTTCAAATTTATTTATTCTCAGAAAACGTCGAGAGCGTTTCACAAGACATATCTTGAGCATGTATTTCACGCCCGTTTCCTTGGTGACACGCTGAACGCAGTGTTGTACCTAGTGTGGTGGAGGCCTAACAATCCGTCCCTGACTAAGTTGCTTATGAAGTTATGTGGCGCCCTGAGCACAGCCCTTGACGACCTAGAAGTGGCACTAATGAGGCTGGACGTGAACAATACACATTATGTACAGATAGAGGGATGTACTCGAAACTGGTCGAGGGCGTTAGCTTTGCGTTTACGTCGGATTACACCTAGCGCGTCTGTAGATGTCACTATACTACACACTCCAGGAACAAAATTTCTTCCTAAATACGATGATAACTGAAGTAGTATTGCCTTTTCCACCCGGCCCCTGTCACATAACAACTCAAACAACTTGGTATAGTTTCTGACTTCTCATGCAAACGGAAAGAGAGCAGGAGGAGAAAGACGAAAAAAAGACTTGATAAAAAGCGAACGGAAAAAGACACGAAGAAACAACAAAGAACAAGAAGTAATATAGAGCCTTATAATGTAGACGACCGATCAAGGAGCAATACGTACAGAACACATGACCAAGAACAAGACAACCAGACCACGAACAAATCACACGTGATTCTCACTACCAGTTCAAAATAGCACTGTACATGTACAGCATTCACTTGACAGTCAATCTAACACAAGACGGACGCAGATTCTCACGCTCGGACAACGCGTACTGTTGCATGCACCACACACCATAAACGTCACACATCACGCCATACCCAAACGTAGACATGGAAGAGATGACATCAGACACTGGACTCCACGATACAACAACCAAATACAAGCCTTTCGGCACATGCCCCTACAAAAAGCGCTACTCGAGCGTAGTGAGCACATTGTCCACTGATCGACGACCATGTTTGCTGACATAGGTTTGCGGAAGGCATTCGACAAAAGAAATCTCTGACCGGAAACAGGCCATCCTACTGGAAAAGAGCCATTCACTTCCGCTTGTCTGACAGGACGTCGAAAACTCATGTCAGGAACGAGGGCTGCATGAGTAGTAAGTGCGGGGCAGGTTCTGGCACACTTTTTGACCTTTGACCTTTGGGCCAAATAAAGCACACTGTGTCGGTCGTGCTGGGTCTGGCCCCGGGACCCCCAGAGTTTGACTTTTGACCCCTGGCATGCCATAAATGTCATCCTTAAGGTTCTTTTCGCCATAAGTGGCGAACGTGACTTGTGCACGTTCGGTGCATTCGCACCGGGGAGTAGTAAAATACGTACTATTCCCTGATTTGCACATCGTAGATGTGCATTGCATGCAGTGAATGACATATTGCGCATGCGTGCATACGCACGCGGAGCGTGTGACCTTCAGTGGTCCTATGCGTGTGGAAAAGACGCAGTGCAACACAAGGTGTACTAGTACACGTGTCATTATACTACTCCATGATTCGCACTTCGTAGATGTGCAGCAAACAAGTTCACGTTCCGTGCATTCGTTTTATTTGCACATCGTAGATGTGCACTGATTGACAAGTTGCCCATGCAGAGCATACCTAATCGGCTTTTCGATCGAGAATGTTCAAATTCGGCCATATTATGAGCTCCAAGATCAGAATTCGGCTCAACATAGTACTTGAAGTCACCGCTCCCATTACGTCAAGTACATTTACATACACCCTGTTGAAGCACTGAAGCATCGGTTTTCGGGGAATTCAACATGCGAATTTTTGAAAATTCGGCGAAAAGATGGGTAATTTCTTCAAAACCACTGTTTTCGGCGAATTTTTCGCCCGGCCGATTAGGGAAATGCCTACTGTCCATGCAGGTCCATTAGATGCAAATTTCTATTTTGATCAGGATACAGTTAGAATCAACCGGCTACGCCCGGAGTATCATGCATTAAAACAATTATTGAAGGGGTGTCACAGTGAAGCAGTGTTGCTACGCACCACAAATCCCCTCTGCACTGCATCGAATCTATACTGGAGAATCCAGAGTGACCAGCAAAGAGTCACAACCCGCGGGTATCCAGTCACACTAAGGCATATCCACCATTCCCCACATATTCACTGTAACAAAACACAATACTGTTTACTATAATGCACTTTTATTTAAATGGACTTGGATGAGTCTGTAGAAGAGAACACAATGCACGCACACGCACGCATGCGCGGGCACACACACACACACACACACACACACATCTAGGTTATAGTGCTATACACGTATCTAGGGTTTAGGAAGCACGAGAATATGTCGAAGCACCCACGCATACCCCTTCATGCAGTGTACTTCAGTAGCCCAACACATTACGACTGCTCAGGACCATCACAAAACACATTACGACCGCTCAGGACCATCACAAAACACTACACACTGTTACTACACTGCATACACAGTTACTACACTACGCCTGTTACAAGTACTTACAAATAATTTTGAAAACAAATGGCACATCCCGAAGAGGGCAGCTAGCTCCAGACCTTCATACATACATCATCATCATCTGTAAAACCAAGCATGAGCGCACACAAACACTATTAGTGTCACGAATACGGAAGCAGGGTAAGACAAGAGGATACGAAACAAGTAGGTATCGCTATAACGAGGGGGATAAGTATACATGTAGACAGAGCAGTGCTTACTTACAGGGTCCGGATACGCTCCATGGCGTCCCGGTAGTCGGACTGCAACAGCAGCCCGACTTGCCGGCCCTCCCAGTAACGGGTTCGATGGGCCGCACCCGCCAGGTGTGCGGCCACGGCCTGGCCTCCCACCAGCCTTTCTCCACTGTAAAAACGAAAGAAACCGCAGAAAGCACAGTGTCATAGAGCTCTTTTGTTGGGGGAGAGAGCTAGGAGCACTGCACACTTACCATTTGTCACAATATATTATAAGAAAGAGGCGGCGCTTGACGCACCGCCTCAGGTGCTGAAACAAGGGTATAACTCCTGTCAGTTCCACACCGCAGTGGCAAGTGAACGCCATACTGTAAATGTAATGATACTGAAGTGAAGGTGTGAACCGCAAAGCAAGGCCTTTACCTTCTTCCTGTCGAATTCGCTCCCCAGCTGCATACCGACATCATCCGCTAAAATCCAATCATACCAAGTAATGCAAAGGTCATCAGTTGACCTTTTGGACTTTTCAACTCTTATCCAAAACCACCAAGAGGAAAAAAACCCAGGATAATAATAATAATCTTTATTTCAGGATTACCCAAAGGCTAACGCCTATCTGGGGATGAAGAAGACGTCAGTTGTAGAAGCGTTTGTGGAGGAGTTGTTACATTATTCTCAGTAAATAGATATGGCTGATACATTCGGTGTAGACGTGGACGACCGGTCGTGGTCTCTCACCACGGGTCCTTTACTAATAGAAAGGCGGACGCCAATAAGAACTGTTGTGGAGTTGGCAGATCAAAACGCGCAGCAAGAAATTTGGCACGTCGATGGTAGACTCCATCGGGAGGACGGACCAGCTCTTGTTGATAGTAGGGGAGTGTCCGCCTGGTGCTATGGAGGCCGCCTTCATCGCGTTAATGAACCTGCTTGGATAGGACGGGGTAGCATCGAGTACTACCTCAACGGCGTCTAGAGCCGGTGGTCCTGCAGTTATTGTGACGCCACATGCTGTATTCTACGGTGGTTACACCACGGAAGGCTCCACAGGGAGAATGCGCCAGCGGTGATACGCAGGGAAGGTAACAATCGTGTACGGGAGTGGTACCGATACAACCTTCGGCATAGGGAAGATGGACCTGCTTTCATCTCTCAGGAGGAGGAGGGTGTCTATCAGTGGTACCTCAACGGGGTGTATTACGATGACCACCATCAAGACCAGGCAATACACCCCATGGAGCTGCAGTACATCAATGTAGTGCCTACTAAGGTAGACTCGTCAGCAATAAGTCATGAGTCCATTTGTGTGATTTGTCAGGATACCCTGGACCGTCCTCTATCCAAGTTGGAGTGCGGTCATGAATTTCACTTCCACTGCATCAAGGAGTGGATCAGTTCTGCCCCCAGCCCTACTTGCCTAACCTGCCGCTACTCCATGACTGCTGAGGACTTGGTTGAGTTCTTGTAGTAATACATGACACAGCTGCATGTAGGCGACTACGAATGACCAGTCATGTGCTACAGACGGACACGGACACGCCACCCTTAGTAGCCATGAGCGGCTCGTTGGACAAGGGCAACAAAGCACCCCGTGGGCGGCCAAGGTTGACACTAGCCACAAGTCTGCTCGCTCAGTTGAATAAGCTGGGTGTGCCCATGAAGACCATGGAAGACCTTTCCAGGTGCCGGCAACAAGCAGAGGACAAGACAGACTGGAAGAAACTGTGCAGCTCGACACTCGAGGACAAATCAGTATCAGCAGCTACTACACCTTGCTGATGATGCTCACAAGACAGAAGTGGGAAAAACACTGAATTTCTTTATTTAGTGCTCAACTACGCGAAATGTGTTATTATTATTATACATGTTCAACTGTACTCAGTCTGGCTGACTGCCATTCTCTACCACACATTACCGGACACTGTTGTGGTTGTCGTCGTTATCGTCGTCGTCATTGTTGATGTTGTTGTCGTCGTTATCGTCGTTGTTGTTGATTTTGTTGGTGGCTGTTGCTGTCGGTTGTTGTCGGTTGTTGTCGTTTGCTGTTGGTTGTTGTTGGTTGTTGTTGATGTTGTTGTCGGTTGGTGTCGTCGTTATCGTCGTCGTTGTTGATGTTGTTATTAGTTGTTGCTGTCGGTTGTTGGTTGTTATTGGTTGTTGCTGTCGGTTGTTGGTTGTTATTGTTGATTGCTGTGGGTTGTTGTTGGCTGTTGGATGTTGTTGTCGGCTGTTGTCGGTTGTTGTTGGTTATTGTTGGTTGTTGTTGGTTGTTGTTGGGCGTTGTTGGTTGTTGTCGGTTGTTGTCAGGTGTTGTTGGTTGTTGTTGGTTGTTGTTGTCGGTTGTTGTCGGTTGTTGGGTGTTGTTGTCGGTTGTTGGGTGTTGTTGTCGATTGTTGGGTGTTGTTGTCGGTTGTTGGGTGTTGTTGTTGGTTGGTGTTGGTTGGTGTTGGTTGTTGTTGGTTGTTGTCAGTTGTTGTCCGTTGTTGTTGGTTGTTGTTGGTTGTTGTTGGCTGTTGTTGGTTGTTGTTGTTGTTGTTTGTTGTTGTCGGTTGTTTGTTGTTGTTGTGTGTTGTTGTTGGTTGTAGTTGGTTGTTGTCAGTTGTTGTTGGTTGTTGGATGTTGTTGTCGGTTGTTGTCGGTTCTTGTTGGTTGTTGTTGGTTGTTGTTGGCTGTTGTTGGTTGTTGTTGGTTGTTGTTGGTTGTTGTTGGTTGTTGTTGTCGGTTGTTGGTTGTTGTCGTTTGTTGTTGTTGTTGTTGGTTGTAGTTGGTTGTTGTTAGTTGTTGTTGGTTGTTGGATGTTGTTGTCGGTTGTTGTCGGTTGTTGTCGGTTGTTGTCGGTTGTTGTTGGTTGTTGTTGGCTGGTGTTGGCTGTTTTTGGTTGTTGTTGGTTGTTGTCGGTTGTTGTCGGTTGTTGTGTTTTAATCGTTATTATGTTCATTATCCAGGAGGATGTTGCTATGATCCAGTACCATTTTTTCGCATATATGAGACAAGTTTGTGTAACGTTAGTGTGACGTGGGGTATGCTGATTGGATGTGAGGTGGTGAGAGTATGCTGATTGGCCGATAACAATTAGTGGAAGGGATAAAGTAATGCGCTGCTTGTGCAGCGTAACCAAACACATGGTCTGTGGGAAACACCCTAGTAAAATAAATAAAATAATAATAACATGAATTGCCACCGGCACTTGAGAGACTCGAGCCCCGCCACCTTGTTCAAATCGGACTTGGTAGCTTCATACTGGAACTTAATCTTCTTCTTTTTGAGGTATGACCGTACAAAACGCGCTTGGATTTTTTCATTTTATTTTTTTATTTTTTATTTTTTTTGTTTTTTATTTTTTTCATTGCAACTTTTTTAGCAGATAGCAACTTTTTTTAGCAGACTCGTGAAACAACGGTGAATCTGGAACGAATAAATGGTCCATGTCAAAGGCATGACGAGTCTCGAAGTCTTCACATTCACGATGGAACCTTGTCATGATTGACGCATTCCTTGATGGTGCGCACATGAAATCACCCTGGCTCATCTTTTCCAACTCCATTCTTTTCACATCCTGCAACCCATACCCTACTAGTATCAGTGGGGATGCTAGAATCAGAAGAGGCAAGGCAGCACTCTTCCGTGGATGTATTACTCGACACAACACCACCCATACTTGTTTTCTAGAAGTTTTGACTATAATGATATATTGCAGCAGGAAGTAGTAAACAGTCAAATAGGATAGGATAAGAATGAATGATCAACTGTCTGATAAAGAATGCAGTTCATTAAAGACTTATTGGAAGGTCTCTACCAGCTGATCGTCATGTTGGACGGCGACACTGCATAATGATATGAAGCTCTCAGTTAGCTGTTTCAGTTCCGTGGTAGAAAGTGTCATGTGTGCGTCCAGAGAACGATGAAAACATCTAGGGTCCACGTTGATGCAGACGATTGGAGCAACAGCAAGACGTACCTTCAACGCTTGCTCGTCAATGTCGAGGGAGACTGCCCCGGGGTAGATGAAAACATCTTGTTCCACATCCAGTTCGAACCAGCTGGTCGGGACTAGCTTGCTTTCGCCGTTGATGTACACCCGACATTGACCGTAGGACGAACGTGATGGGTAGAAGTTGGTCTTGATCTTCTCCACACGTCCTCTTCGGAGAGTGTCACGGAGCGATGGACAAGTCTTGATCAAGTTCGTAATGATGAACTCAGTGGACTCATTCAGTTCGATGTAAACCTGTCCTTGAGAATCTTTGCGAGCTGTTGCCGTACTACCACAGGCTGGTAGAGCTCCTGAAGGGAAGTACATCTTATAACCAGGCTTGTAGAAGGATCTACCTGATGACTTGTAGGACAGTTGCATGTCCTCCTGAAACCCATCTACCACAATCTCTTTGTGGAGCTTGGTAGGAGCAGGTGACACATAGCGACGCTTAGCCGGTACTGCCTTCGAAGAGAGCACAACTTGAGGAGGGTCAGCAGGAAGAGCGGAATTCTTCCTCACCCGCCGCTCGTATAGGTTATCCATCTTCCAGGAAGCGAAGGGAGAACAACTCATCAGCACTGTATTCGATGAACGAATGACTCGACTACAGGACAACCACCCGTATTTATACAAGGCAGAGACGGAGGCGGGTTGAAGTGATAAAATATGTGTCAGCTAGGTCAACCAATCACCATCAAGCCCGCCAAAAACATTTGACCACTCAGCATTGAGCCCACCAAAAACATTTGACCAACCAGCATCAAACCCGCCAAAAGCATTTTGCACAATCAGCGGCATGCCCACCAAAATCATATCTCATCTTAAAGATTCCTTACATGATACCGCCACTTTAGTGAACTGATACAGTATGGAAATAAGATCAGAGTCAAACGTGTGCAAGTTCTGAATCACGTGATCAAGTGAATAGGTTTCCCAACAATAGGCATCAATCAATGATACCATAAGAGATGTATCAGATGGAGATAAAATCAGCAAATTCGTACGCAACGTGGACAGTTGAGAAGAAGACACCATCCTGGTCGACTCCATGAGACGCAGTACATATAGGAGTGGAAAATGCTGAGGAAGAGGTTTCATGATTCGACTGAACCTCAACCATGATACATTGCTACGAGGTAAGTAGGAACGCAGTTTACGTAGTACATCCACATTCGTATCGTATACTATGCAGGATAATGCTATAGCATAGTTTATACTCTTGTACAAACAGGATTTTTTCATCGCAAGTATCTGCTCCCGAAGAGTGTGTACGCAAAGCTGATCGGATAAGAGTTCAGTTTTCGAAAGAAAATGCAAAAGATGACGATCCACACCGCTTAACCGCTCATGTACCGCGTAAGGCTTAGAGGACCTCATACCCTCGTAGAGGACCTCATAC